TGATTTTAGAAACTCCTTGTGTTTCTGATATGACATATACAAAAGAAATAAAGACTCTCTATTCCATGGTGGCATGACTGCTATGTGGATACAAGATTGGATGAGATCTCAGTGATTTTAGAAACTCCTTGTGTTTCTGATATGACATATACAAAAGAAATAAAGACTCTCTATTCCATGGTGGCATGACTGCTGTGTTGTTACAAGATTGGATGAGATCTCAGTGATTTTAGAAACTCCTTGTGTCTCTGACATGACATAAACCAAATTGAATAGCATTGTCTGGTTGAAAATGATAAATCGTTGCGGCTATTCAAGACCAAGCGGTATTCTGGGTAGACAAATCATGGGCACTTGGAGAGTGTTTGCATACAGCACATGCATGAAGAATGAAAAAATTGTTCAATTGTTCATTGTTTGATAATTGTGCATAATATTAGCATCAAACCTTTCCAACCTGACTACGTTTTTTAAATTGGTTCATACAAGAGCAATAAAGACTGTTATTCATGATTGTATGATTATACTAGAGCGGATGCAATTAAACCGTGAAATAAAATCAAACTAAATACTAACTAATAGTATCTATTTAGTGACTAATAGTTGCTATCACTCAACCAGAACATTCATAATAAATGTTCTGGTTGAGTGATAGTGACTATTAGTCACTAAATAGATACTATTTGTCAGTATTTAGTTTATTTTTATTTCACGGTTTAATTGCATCTGCTCTAGTGAATTAACGACTTTGTATCCAAAAACTGGACAATTTTATAAACCCCTTGTTACTCTTAGAAAATTCAAAACTATGTTGGAATGGTTATCAGACTGGAAGATAAGATGTATAACGTAAAACAGGTAAAAACATTTCTGACATCAAAAAGATGATTAGGTTTGGACAAACTTTTTTTATTGAGCCAATATCTTGCAAAGTGTAAATTTCAGTTTATATTTTTCATTGGGTTTGGATAGAATTGCTTAACTTTCTCAAGCTTCAATTAATAACTATAGAGGTAGTATTAAGGTACGTACACGGTGCGAAACTCCGCGCAACTAATTTGAATAGGGGTGACATGTTGCAACGAAATCACGCAACATTGCTTGTTTCAGTCGGTTATGCTAAGAAATTTAGCGGTTATAAATTTGGTGCAAGCTGATTGGTTTGAACTTTCAAAATGATGCACGCAATGTTGCAGCCATATTCACACGATGAAATTTGTTGCGCGCAATGTCGTAAGAGTAGAGCGCGATTCAACTTCAGATTTGTGGCATGCAATGCTACGTGCAACAAGTTTGGGGTAGACACACGCTGCAACAGTCTTGTTACGTGAAATGTTGCGTGCAATGTTGCACCGTGTGTGCGTACCTTTATGTGCAACCAGTGTCAGGGGTAAATACACACCGCAACAGTCTTGTTACGTGAAATGTTGCGTGCAATGTTGCACCGTGTGTGCGTACCTTTACGTGCAACCAGTTTCAGGGATAGACACACACCGCAATAGTCTTGTTACGTGAAATGTTGCGTGCAATGTTGCACCGTGTGTGCGTACCTTTACGTGCAACCAGTTTCAGGGATAGACACACGCCGCAACAGTCTTGTTGCCTGAAATGTTTCGTGCAATGTTGCACCGTGTGTGCGTACCTTTACGTGCAACCAGTTTCAGGGATAGACACACGCCGCAACAGTCTTGTTACGTGAAATGTTGCGTGCAATGTTGCACCGTGTGTCTGTACCTTTACGTGCAACCAGTTTCAGGGATAGACACACACCACAACAGTCTTGTTACGTGAAATGTTGCGTGCAATGTTGCACCGTGTGTCCGTACCTTTATTGTGTTTATAAAAACTGTAAATTTGCATTCATACATTAAAGATGAAAAGCAAATAAAAATTGGTTAAAAGGTTTCAATGCTTTTACAAATTAGTGCTGCTACGTTCACATTTATTTAATTCAAAATATTTAGGACTATAGCCGTCAGCTGTCATGGACCTCTGTAAAATCTCAAACTACAATCTATTTTTGAGATTAAGAGAATAAAGTGAAATTAATTGACAAAAATTCGAAGGAAAATGAAGAGGGTAAAGCATTCAAAAATTAATATTTTTATAGCATTTATTATACTTATGTCAGCAAACGCTACACTTGTAATAGCAAAAACTATTGAAATTTGAAAAAGGTCGTTTAAGTTACAATAGCCATACCTTATCTTGGCGGTATTCAACACTTTTTTTGATCTTACTAACTACTAAAAACTCAATTCTTCTAATAGGGTTTTTTGTTCCTTCCTTGCATGTGTAATGTTTCCAAAAAGTCTGAGCCGGCCATTCTGGGCTACTTGTTTTAAGTTGGACTGTAACTGAGAAATATGAGTGAATAATCTATTTTTGGGAAGAGACCGGGGAAAAAGTACTGAAGTAGGAGTCTAGTGTTTTAGTGCGAGAGGTACATGACTTATTCTCTACTTTCACGTCCCCATAATGCTTTGCTTCTTTGGGGGGTAACCAATCAAAAAACTGTCCCAAATTGAAAGGTTTCTTAATTGAATTTATACTATACAGTGTGTGGCCCAGTAACCTGCCACTTCAGCTAAAAATCACCGTAACTCCCTTTTATTAAAAGCCAATGCATTGAAACCCGACCAAATAATGAATCAATTATCCTGCAACATAATAAGAACAAATTTGTCATTTGTATCCTTTGTCTTTGGTTTGCATCGCAGTTTTAACAAAGTGGTTTGGAGGTCCAGTATCCTGCCACCTGGTCCAGTATCCTGCCATTGCCAATAACCGTGCGGTTTATTGAGATCCCTGCGTTGTTTAGGTGCTAAATAGCAAAAAGGCACTTTCTAATAGTTTCTTACCTTAAAAGTTGCAAAACAAGTTAGATATCATTCATTGCCTTGAGAAATAATTCCAAATGGCTCTCCTACTTTCACTCACCATACAAAATTTTAACGTTATAAGATCCGCTTATTGATATTACAATCTAAGACACAGACAAATAGATCCCAGTTTAAAAAAAGTTATTATCAATTTAATACTCCTAAATGATCATTTTAAATCTAAAAATTGTAAATTTTAGAAATTAAGCGTGTTTATGAGTAGGCTTTATTTATCTATTTATTACTGCATAAACAATTAACCATTTAAAACACATTTCATATCCTGTTCATATATCGCATACGTTTTTCACATAGCTATTATCATCTTACTACGAATATATTTCGCTGTTCATTTACAAAACGAGGAGAATGACTTGTCCAGCACTAGCTTATCTGGGTTTCTATCTTGTTTTTCATTCATCTCCTGCTCTTCGCTTGTAGAATTGAAGAAATAAAACAGCCAAAGCAACATACAGCCCTTCTACTGCTTTATCAATACCAGTACATAGTTTGAAGAACCTCCTAGTCAAATGAACACAGATCTTTATTCAATTTATATGACAAGGAAGAAGTCGAACGATAAACTGGCAGGAGAAAGGGCCCCCCAAAGCCTAAACTTTGTCCTTGCTTCTAGAGCGTATTATTCAAACGAAAACTTATTTAATGCACCTTTCGCTCAGTTTATGAATGTTTTCATCATTATTCTTTCATCATATGAAAAATCATAGCGATCCCAGTCGCATTTCGCATGTTTTGAGTTTATTTATAATCGTTGGTAGTTTCACTGCGCAGTAAAAAGCCTAATTTTAGCCATGAGAAAGTTTACCTACCTGTTCTTCTCTTCTCCCTGTTCCCGAATGCGTTGACCAAAAAGCCCGCCAAAACTGTCTTTGGAAACCGGAAGTGCTTGGCTAATCATCGGATAGCTTCGGATTAGGTAGAAAAATAAAGCCGACGAGATATTTTAAGTTGAATTTTTTTTGGCAGGATACTGGTGCCGGCAGGATACTGGTGCCGGCAGGATACTGGGCCAGACACTGTACCTGCTTTTTTATTCCAAGTTATTTTTGCGTGTACAGATCCTCAAGAGTTTTGGTCTTACAGAAAATGTATTGACTTACGAAAAAATGTTTAAAATTTACCCTAAACGTTTTCAAGCTTCCATCTCTTTCTGTTTTTTTACTTCTTCATTTCACTTTTGGATACCAAACAAGGTATTGTCAACATTGTCTGAACAGCCTTCAGCAAAATAAGTGGCTTTTTACCCTCTGATTACCCCCCAAAGACGCAAAGTATTATGGGGACGTGAAAGTAGAGAATGGCTCAGCTAACCTCCAAGGTTCCTTGGCCCGAATAACAATGAAATAAATTATCAATATTATTTATGAAGTATAGAGAATAAGAGAAAAATATCAAATGCCCTTGGCAGGATTCGAACCCACGTCTTCGGTATTCTAGTCCGATGTGTTAACCACTACACTACAAGAACCAACCACGCTGGTAACGCAGCCAGAATATGAAATGTAGGGTATTCGTGAGGATCCCAGAGCGATATTTTGGTATATAAGGGCATTTGATATTTTTCTCTTATTCTCTCTACTTCATTATATACACACCGAACGCATCGGTCAAACACGACATTCTGCTACAGAGGCTGAAGACAAAGTTTGGTGTCGGCGGAAAGGCTCTTGATTGGTTTACATCATACCTCGTGGAGAGAACGCAGCGTGTGTTGGTGAAGGGGGGTCTCTCCTCTAATTTCCCTCTGCGTCAAGGGGTACCTCAGGGATCCTGTCTTGGGCCTGTGCTGTTTAGCATTTATACGAGCAAGCTCTTCGATATCGTCCAGCGACATCTTCCTCAAGTCCACTGTTACGCGGATGATACGCAACTTTATTTAGCATTCAGTCCCAATGTACAAGGAGATGCTGATGCTGCTGTTAGTGTGATGCGTGCATGCATCACAGACTTAAAGAACTGGATGATTAGAGATCGTCTGATGTTAAATGACGATAAGACTGAATTTCTTTTACTAGGTACTAGGCAACAACTAGCTAAGGTAGATATTGATAGTATACTAGTTGGTAACTCATATATCGAAGCAAAA